AGTAGACATATATATGGATTATTATAGGGCTTTATAATGAGGAATCTATTCATAATTTTGGATTTTAAAATCCCGGCGGTCTAAAGATTAACTAGATATCTTCTAATTGCTTTTTCTGTAAAGCACATATTTTTTTTATTGCTCCTCTTTTCTTATTTTCTAATATTGGGTGGGCAAGAAAGTGATTGCGTTTTTTTTAGTTCAAAGTTGTATATATAATATCTTCGTCAATAATGAATGAAATTTAAATTTAAGAAAAGGGTTTTAAAGCTTGAAATCTCTACTTTTAAAAGCTTATCACATTTTTTAAGTTTATATGAGTTTGGTAATTTTTACATACCAAAAACTACGAGCTGAAAAAGACGAAAAATTTTCTTCTCACTTTGTGGATTTGTAACGTGTCCAAAATGAATTTGAGAAAATTTTCGATTACTTATCATGAAAGCTTGATATTTTCCCTACAAAATTGTTTTTTTTTAAATATTCCTACGATTTTTGGTTACTGAGTTATCGCGGATTAAATAAAAGAATTATTTTGACTTTAATTGCTCATAACTCCATTAAAAATTGTCGTATCGTATATTAAAAAAAAGATTTTTAAAGCTAAAACTTTATTCTATCAAGATATATTTATATTGGTTGGTAAGAAAGTAATTGCGGTTTTTACTGATAGATGTCTTTTAAAAAAACGCAATTGCTTTCTTGCCAACCCAATAGTTATAAATTTTGGACAAAACGCATTGTGAAAGACTGCTCCTCACATATAATGTAGTTTATAATGTGAAATTTAGTCCCAGTGAATGAGTTACACGGAAAGAACGACTTCGTTGACGTGTTTAAAAATTTCGCTACATACAGATCTGAAAATAATTTTGTTGGCCATCAAAATTATTATGGAAGAAACTCAAGAAAGTGAGAGAACAATACTGCAAAAAATGCTTACATTTAAGCAATCATTTTTTTAGCGTTCTACATAATTATTTTGATAATCCGACAGAGTTATATTTTCCGATCTATACCCAGATAAATTTTTCGACCAAGATATTTCGACAAAACTGTTCTTTTCGTACGGTCTTCACATATAATGTAGCTTATAATGCGATGAACAAAAGGTGTCGTAGATACAAAGCTCAATGGATAGTTTTTGAGTTGCAATATACTAAAGGTACTGTCAGCACAAGTTTTGACACAAGTTTGAACTTCGGTACATACGTAGGATAGTAAAAACTATCCATTCGACCATTATTAACCTTTATGTCCATAACATGTTTTTGTTCGTCACATTATAAGCTACATTACATAATTTATATACATATGTAGATATGTGAAAACTAAATTATTTCACCGGGATTCATTTTTCTACGTAATTAGTGCGAGGCTCTTTGAGCTCGTTCTTGTCATGATCAAGGTTCATTTGTTCGTGTTTATTCGTATTATTTGCTTGATCCGATTCCATTTATGGAAGCCCGTATATGACACCCTACGTATCACTGAGAAGTGATGAATATTGCCATCGATCGTAAAGTGTTTCGGTCGTCGTCAAATAAAGTCAGCGCGTGCTCCGAGTTTCGAATGACATTTAACTCTCTTTTGTTGGAAATTTACCGAGAGTCTCTGTATAATTCCGAGGACACCAATGTCGCGCGTGGACGCGTGGCGGTCGCCGGAACGGCAACGAGTAAAACATTGTTGGTTTTGCGGCAGTGGCTTTGCTAAACGTGTACAGGTTTGTCGAGGCGTACTGTATGGGGCGTTTGTGGGACGCGTGGGCGTGTATGTATACTCGCATATGCATATATCGAAGAGGGGCGAGACGCTGCCGCGGCACAACGCGCCTCGGTTTCCTGTTGTCTTCCAGACACCAACCTTCTGTGCCATCCTTCGGTCTCGCCGCGTTATCAGGTAGTCCGATAATCGAGTTACTCTAGCTAGGTTTGTGTGCGCTACCGGCTAACAGAAGTTAGTTCCCGTCGTCGTGCGGAATCCCTTCGTCACGCTGCCGCGTGCTCCTTGTTCCCTGCCCCTTGGTCCTCTCTTCCCATTCTCTCTGCCCGCCAACGCGACGGGTGATAAATTTGTTTACGCTCGTAGATATCGACTGGA